TAACCGGTACCGGTACCGGCAGTGCCGGTAACGAATTTGGGGCACCGGAACCGAGACTGGATATGGCGGTACCGGTGCCGGTTCTCGGAACCGTTTCGCCGTCCCGGTATACGTTACGGTGCTCGGTACCGGCGGTACCGTTTCCGGTGACGGTACCGCACCGGTACCGTGTCCAGCCCTAGATCTATGGTGGACAGAGGTAACAAGATACGTGAAAAGTCAAGACTATTCGTTTCTTTTTAACTATGAGCCACAAATTGGAATGAATCGGGTTAGAACGGTCTAGTTTTTTTTGGTGTTCCGGCTCTAGTCTACATTTTTAGAATATTCGAATATGGACATTTTTATATCAATCTTGGAAAATACAAAAACTGTGATAAAAATGTGTGTTATATTATTATATAAATGAATAAGTATACACACATAAACACATAACGGGACGGAACAAAAAAATATTTGTGTCCCGGTCCTTTCAATTTTTAAAAACGATTTGGGAAATTTTTTTTATCATCCTTGATAAAACGAAACATGATATTGACGAGATTGAGATATTTCATGTCGAGATAATGATTTTCTCTCTATCCCACACCTATCTTTGGCTCTTCCTTCGTGAAATCTTAGACTCTACTTGGTACACAAAATTCAAACTATAAAATAGTTGTTGCAGACAAAAATATATGGATTTGAAATTGATAGTGTCAAAAATAAAATAAAATTGGAAAACTCAATTGGATCCCAATCAATTTCATATGGAATTTGAGCTTTCAATTCAATTCGAAGTTGGTAAATAAAATGTTGGACCATGCTACATATACCCCATATTTGTACCTCAATTGGTACCCCAAAGCTTTAACCTGACATTTAACGTAGGTGCAACACTGGCATATTCCTAGTTTTGCACCTATATTTAATGTCAGAGCAAGATATTGGGGTACAAATTGGGATAATATGGGGTAAATGTAGCATTATAATATACGGAGTATCTAAAATGTTTGCTATCTATCAATCTTTTCTAGCCTTCCCCACTTACTCCTAATCCTAAACCAGAATCTACGCCTCCGCCACTCAACTCATTCCCTAAGTCAAAATTCTCAACTTGTTGAGCATGAACCTCAGTCTCCCCCTCGTCTCGAAGCGATGCCTGAGAGAATCGAATCCGATTTCAATCATCCATCTCGATTCTCTTCTACTTTCGGCCACGAATCGTTGCTTTGGCGATTGGCAGTGGTTGCAGAATCTTGACTTTTGCGCAGGAACAAGTTCTCGCTTTGCTGTATTCCCTACTCTGCTTAATGGAGTATTTGCTATTCCATTCTCTTTTGTTGATTTATTATATTATTATTTTCTTTTAGTTTTTTTAGTATTTCACATTATTATAAGAACCCAACATCCACAGAAGGTGAAGGTGCACATGCGCTGCGGTAGGGTTTTCGTTTGGAGAGTAGGACACTGGTATGTTTCCTTGTCATTCTTATTAGACTAAATTCTATAAATGGTTTTCCAAAAAAACCATAATCTATAAATGGTCTATAAGATATTACTCCATGATTGGTCATCAATTTTTAAAATTATTATATACTCGGTCCTTTTTGGAATCAGGACTATATATATGTGGTAAAAATGTTGGCATATTTAACCTAAATGATTATTTATGGAATATTTTAAAAATTGATGGCCATTTTTCTTATTTCTTAGAATTATGGACTAATTATGAAAAACTACTTGTGATTAGGGATTATTTATGAAATTTATTCTTCTTATCAATGTTCGAAATGTCGTATTGCGGTTTGGAGGCTTTTTTTTCATGGCGTATTGCGTAAGCCTCAAGGCATTTTGAGGCGTAAGCCTCTATTTTTATATTGAAAAATGTTCATAAAACATTTTAAAAACTGAAGATAGAACATAATGTGTAACATAAATAATCCTGAAGATAGAAGCATTTTAAAAACATTAAATTTGAAATGATAATAACAGCAAGAAAAATCAAATGCCAATTTTCATGAATGAAGACATGCTCTTATAGGTAGTTTCATACTAATTTGATGTATATTCAAATCAGCAATTTTACCAAACCTACTGTTAGAACCATTAAAGTAGCCTCTGCTCACCAAAAATGTAATTCAAAAACACATGATTTTTGACAAATTATTTTGTATTTATGTTGGTGGAATCATGTTTAACATATTTGTTTTTTGGATGCAGGACATTGTTGTCGCAAACCACTTTTTTCAATCCATTGACATAATTTTATCAACACGTATTATTTAATATGGGGGGTTATCATAGCAATGTATGTCCTTATCCGCTCACTTTCTATTCAATAACCCATTTCTTTATCATAATGATTAGTTGGCTACTAATTTAGTAAAATTCTAGGAGAACAAAGTAAATGATACTCGGTATTGAACAAAAACAGAGTTTAAAAAATAACCAAGTTTCTCACTAAAATAATAAAATCAGTGAACTTGGGAGATGTTTTCTTTCATAATCTAATCTTTAGATTCTTTGATGCACAGGAGTGGATTGAAAACTCACCGCAGAATGACCCCTGTACGCCTTCTATTTTCTTTTATAAATCCAGTGTCATACTTGGCAGGCATCTCGTGAATATTTTGGTGGTGCTCTCATATAGGGAATTTTTATTTATTTTCAACATTTTATTCCTTCAGTCCTTGAGAGAAAAAAATTGTTTGAACTTTTTCTCTAAAAAAGAGCCACTGTTTAAAAGTTGACATAAATTTTTGAATAAAAATCATGTAAAGCCAATCGGCAAACAATTGAGGTTTTCACTACAAATTATAATGAAATTAAGTCTTAGGGGTATAATTGTCCATTTATAAATTATAACTTGATAGTTCTTATTCCTTTTACTAAGTTCACTAAAATTTAAAAGTTCTACCTTTTTAACATGGCACATTTTTTTTGGGGGGAGGGGGGAGGGGGGGGGGAGGGAGTATTAAGTTTTCAATGAATAAAATATACTCTGTTCTTCCCATAAAAAGGTTCCACATTTCTTTTTTCGTATGTCCCAAATAAATGTTATGCTTTCTACTTTTGGAAAAGAATTTTCTCTCATCTGTATCACTTTCAACTACACAATTTTACTTTCCTTAATCTCCTCCGTGTCAATTCAAAGGTGGAACCTTTTTTAATCGGACGGAAGGAGTAGGTAGTAATTTCATAGAAATAAATATTCCTGACTGAATTTGGTTTGACTCATTTCCAGTGGTTGTCATACGAAATGGGAAGGAGATCATCTTACAGGTCACTTCATCACTTGAGTATGCAAAAAAGTTCATGTTTTTTTTGTTAATGTGCATTTGTAAAGAAATAATTGTCTGAATTGAATTACTCGTGTAGTCTATATTGTTTTATTTTCATATTATTTCTTAATAAATACGGAGTAATTAAATATCAACCCCACAATTTCTTAAACTCCGTGTAAAAGTCAATAGGACAGGGGAGAATTTTTTTTATTATTTTGATGCTATGTGGACAGAGGCCTTCATAGATAGATAGGAGTTATGTTGCCATATCTGTAGAGCTTGCTTGATATATTTTTTTATTGAGTGATTGCAAGTGCCTTGCAATTTTTTGTGTAGTCGAGTGCTCATGACTCCAAGTTTCAGTGTCATTGATGTCGAGCAATTTATCATAAATATCTTGCAAGAATATATAGTAAACAGGCAAAGTACTAGAAAATACTACATATTTGTAGAGTTGTACGTACTAGCAATAAAGTGGCACTGTGGCTTTTGTGCAGGCCTTCAATTGGGAATCTCATAATTATGATTGGTGGAGGAATTTAGAGCGGAAAGTTGATGATATTTCAAAATCTGGCTTTACAAGTGCATGGTTGCCTCCAGCTACCCATTCATTTTCACCTGAAGGTTAATCAACAAATACTAAGTGAACTTGAACTTTTTTTATTCTTATTATTATTACTCCTATGATTATTTTAATTGTTACTGCATCCCTTGCTACCATTTTATGTAATGCAGAAAATGGTTTTCTTCTTCCATCACAGGTTACCTTCCACAAAATCTCTACAATCTCAATTCTGCATATGGGTCAGAACACCTGTTAAAAGCTCTACTCAATAAGATGAAACAATACAAAGTTAGACCGATGGCTGACATTGTCATTAACCATCGTGTTGGGACTACTCAAGGGTATGGTGGAATGTATAACCGTTATGATGGAATTCCACTGCCTTGGGATGAGCATGCTGTTACATGTTGCAGTGGTGGTAAGGTAAGGAATTAAGGATATAATAATAATAATAATAATAATAATAATAATAATAATAATAATGATAATGATGATAATGATAATAATAATGATGATGATGATGATGATGATGATGATAATAATAATAATAATAATAATAATAATAATAATAATAATAATAAGAACAAGAAGAAGAAGAAGAAGAAGAAGAGTAATAATATGAATATAATAATAATAATCCAACAACCCAATTGATTCCCATAATAGTAGTGTCTACGCAGACCTTACCCGATTTCAAATCTAGGCATACAAATGATAGGGGGAAGCAGCAAGGCGAGGTTCAGTCCTCGAAAATATTTTTTGGGAACTTTTAAATTATGATGAAATAATTTTACTTTTTTTTCAAAATTAATTTTTTTATCAGGAGCACTCATTTTTTTTATTGGGAGCATACTTTTAATGCACAAGATTTTTTTTAAAAAATTCACACTGTATTTATAAAAAAAATTGATTGGGGGCGGGTGCCCCCGGTAGTTACAAGATGGATTTGCCAGTGATTACCCCTACTTGAAAGTAGAAAGGCTGTTTCCAAGAGACGATGCAGGGAGCAAGTTGAGCACTGAAAGCATGTAAAGCACAAAAATAGAAAAAGAGTAGCAAAGAGCAAACTAAGGTGTGCGGAGGAAAAAAACCTGCAATAATAATACTCCGTAGTAGTAGTAATAATAAAATAATAATAATAATAACGACAATGACAACAACAACAACAACAATATAGATAATAATAATAATAATAATAATAATAATATTATTATTATTATTATTACAATTATTATTGTTGCTGTTGGGGTTATTGTAACCATGTATACTTGTTAGTCACTTCAAGAGATGGTAACGAACATTTTTTTATTAAAAAATGTACATCTTGTTTAGTCAATGACTTCACAAACCCTAAGCTCAATGACATCTTTGTCAAAGGGCAGTTATTTGAAGTTTGGAATGTTAGAAACAACAATTGTTTATTCATCTATATCTTGATGAAAGTGAAACTTGTTTATTCTGTCTCAACCATATGATCGTTTGTAACTTCAGGGAAACACAAGCACGGGAGACAATTTTCAAGGGTTTCCTAACATTGATCATACTCAAAACTTTGTTAGAAAAGACATTGTTAACTGGTTACGATGGCTAAGATACATTGTTGGCTTCCAAGATTTTCGTTTTGATTTTGCCAAAGGGTAGATTCAAGAGTATATTGAATTTTTAGTTTTTTTAGCCATCATTCAAGCTACTTGTATTGCTAAGATTTCATTATATTCAATTGTAGCTACTCTCCAAAGTTTATAAAGGAATACATAGAGGGAGCAAAGCCAATATTCTCTGTTGGGGAATATTGGGATACATGCAATTATAGTGGCACCGATTTGGATTACAACCAAAGTACGGTACATTCTTTTTATGTTTGTGTTTAGCTCTCTCAGCTCTTTATATATCTTTATTCACTTTTTAAATTTTGTGCAGATAGTCATAGACAAAGGATCATTAACTGGATTGATGGAGCAGGCCAACTTTCAGCTGCATTTGATTTCACAACTAAAGCAATCTTGCAGGTTTATTTGGTCACATTTAGATGATTTCCTTCCGTCACTAGTTTGCCTTTATTTTCTTAAATCAAGTGCATCCATTGATGGTCTCTTCTATATGTTATTGCTACTACTATGTTTGTCTCATTTTCTAGTTTTGGTTTTTCTCAAAATGTCTGTCTCATGCCGTAATTGGTCATATTTGTGGTTCAAAAACCATCCAATCTTTACATACACATTCAATATGAACCACAGTACTACACAATTACACTTCTCCATGGAGGAAGTATATAAATCATTACTAACTCTTGCTCTACATTGATAAGTTATTAGGTTTTTTTAATTCTTTATCATAATGGAATTGCCTGCATGTGCCTGCCTGGTGTTTACTTTTCTTGTCTCAATTGCTTGTTTAGTAATTGTAAATGATGCACGATCTCTATTTAGGAAGCTGTGAAAGGAGAATTCTGGCGTTTGCGAGATCCTCATGGGAAGCCGCCTGGAGTTATGGGATGGTGGCCTTCAAGGGCTGTCACGTTTATTGATAACCATGACACAGGATCTACTCAGGTGATTTTTGTACTTGTTTTCCAAGTGACAGGGCATGCCTCTTTCACTTAATTTATTTTTTTACTGAAGAAGCTAAATATCACTCTGCAGAATCACTGGCCTTTTCCTTCACATCACATCATGGAGGTATAAGTAATTTCTATACTATCTATATTGCATTATATGTTTTTCTTTTGTTTCAAGCATTATACTACGCTCACATTAATCTCTATTTTTGTGTGTGTTGTCCAATATGATGCCTGATCTTGTACGTAAAATTCCAAGGGCTATGCATACATACTCACTCATCCAGGGATTCCTGCAGTATTTTATGATCATTTTTACGACTGGGGAAATTCAATTCATGACCAAATTGTCAAGCTGGTATGCATGTGTTAGTACCATTAAGCACGCCCGAATTGCAATTTATTTGTTCATCTCCGAACAGGGCAGTAGTTTGTGGTTTCTTACGTGTATCGGGCATTTGACAAACTCATTTTATTATTATTTTTTGTACAGATTGATATCCGGCGCAATCAAGGCATAAACAGCCGCTCATCCATAAGAATTCTAGATGTTCAGCCAAATCTTTATGCTGCAATCATCGGCGAGAAGACTTGCATGAAGATCGGGGAAGGCTCTTGGTGCCCAGCTGAACGGGAGTGGACGCTTGCAACTTGTGGCACCCGCTATGCCATCTGGAAGAAATGAGTCAAAGGGTCCCGCCGGGAGGCAGGCAGCAGGAAGTGTCATACTCATGCGTACCATTTTAGGATGATGGACGCTGTATCAATGTTTTGGTCCTATGTTTTCAAATTTGCTACAAGTATTCAGTTCATGCTACGCTAAAATATTCACTTAATGTATCTCATTGATGCTTATAAGCTGATGTAATTCTGCCTTTTTTTTTTTATTAAAGACATATATCCCTATTTCCCTCTATACGGCTGAGGGTAGCGCCTCAAGCCCCACCCGGTGTGATCCTCTCTGCCACTTCCAAGTTGGTCCGTGATCACCGGCTTCACTCCCCCCTCGCCCTGACTCCCTTGCATGACATTCTTTTTGTTTTTTTGTTTCCAACGATCACACTCCATAAAAAAAATTAAATATAAAATCATATTTCAAATTCAAAATTCAAATCCCCTACCCCCTTCTATTTAAACAAGGGGTGTTCAATCGGATTGATCCGATCTGAAAATTCGGATATCCAAAAATTTTGGATCATGTGAAACTCATTCCATATTCGATCTGAAAATATTTGGATATCTAAAATTTGGATATCCGAATTTTTGGATCGGATCATTGGATTATTTAAAAAGTTAACTTTTTAGCTAAAATTTACAAAAAAAAAGGGTAAAATAGCAAAATCAACCCATAATATCAAATTCAATATAGATTTACTAAAAGCAAAATTCTACCACTAGGTAATGGCCTAATAAAAAAAATGATACCAAATTTAATTTGGAAGTAACTTTGGTAGTTTAGCCTAAACAAACCAAAAAAAAAAGTATTTAAACAAAATGTTCCAAAATGCTAATGCAAAATGTCCAAAATGCTTAAGTTCCAAAATCAACATAAAATTACATTAAACATATAGCGGTGTTTTTTTTATGAAGAAAAAGAAGAGGTTTAGGAAGAGAATATGGGGAGGTATGAAATGGAAGAAAATCAGGGATGGATAAACCAAGTTGGTATTTAAGAGATATTACACACTCTTATCCTAACTTGGAGTTTGAATCTAGAATTTAATTAAGATATGACACACTTAATCAAATATCTAGAACCTAAAACTCACACTTAAGATAACCACACTTAAGATATAGAATTAGGAATTTGGCTAAAATAGCATCACACTATTTTATAAATACTCAAAGAGTAAAAAGGGAGTTTTAATATTCAAGGTTGGGTTTACAATGTCCATAGGGCCTGATTATATAGGGAGAGGGGAAGGGAAAAATACATGCTCCCTCCGTCCTAAAACTTTTTTCCTTGAGCACTATTCCAACTTCACGGGAATTTATATTTATTTGTGTTTTTTCATGGCCTATATGATAAAATAAAATATTCTTGTCACCACTTGTTTTGTTGAATTTTTGATGTAGTTTTTAAATATGTATGTTTTATTTTTTATTTCTATACCAATATTTAAATAAAATAGATTGAAAAAACTTAGGATTTTTCTTCGTTTTGCAAACCGGGAAGAAAGTTTTAGGACGGAGGGAGTAATACATAGAATGTGAACATGAGGAAGCTTCCTAGCAACATCCACTTCCAAAGCATGGGGTAACCTTCATTTAATCTTGTCTCCAAAGTGGAATAAAATCAGGAATGGGCTGGGGTTGTGGGGTTTTGGGTTTTAGGTTTGTAGTGGTTGTTTCCTGATTTTTGTGGCTATTATTTGGGTAAAATGGGGGGTTGTTTTGGCTAATAAAAGGGGACAAGACTGGGTAATATTAGGGGTGGTTTTGGACATATGGGTTTGGGTTATTTGTGAGGGACATGGGCAGGAATGAGTGGCTAGTGGTGGGTCAAGGTTTTGGTTCTTTATGGGTGTTTATGTTGGGATTGTGAAGTGTATTTTGGCCAGGGGATGTATGGAATAAAGGGAAGATTTATTTGTTTAATAAAAGGCTTAAAAGAAGGAAAATAACAACAAACAAACATTTTTGGTTTGCACAATCTTATTTTCGGCCAGGGGCTAAAATAAGAGTAATAAAAACTTTATTTTAAAATGAAATTAATGGCAAGGAGTTTTGAATATTTTGGGTTGGTTTGGACGGAGTGGGAGTCGGCATGTGGAACCCTTGGGTCCGAAGTTATTCTGGCCTCTTGGGTTGAAGGACTCGGAATTCTCACTAAAACGGATCATAATGTTTGAATGTAAGTCCTCTGGTTTTTGCGAGGGTGTGGGACATGGGGGAGAGTATGATAGGGCTAGGCCCGGATATAACAATTTGAATCATCTTTTGTAACCCATTACTAGTAAAGAAATACACTTACTGTTGTACCCGAGACCCGGGGTCTTAACGAGTAGCTATTTTGGAGAAGGATTTGCGGAGAAAATGGACGATGGAATTGAAGGGGTAAAATATGGAGTATGGGAAAGAGTTCTTTTTTTGGTATTTTGATTTATGAAGATAGAACAGAATGGGGTTTAGGAAGAGAAAATAGAGAGGAATGAAATGGGCAGAAATAAAGTGAAGGGATAAACCAAGTTGGTGTTAAGAGATATGACACACCCTTATCTTAACTTGGAGCTTTTATCTTCTTTTACACATTAATAATCACTACTAATGTATAAAATTAGACTCCTAACACGCACCCTAAAGTAGCCAATTTTAGAGATATTTCATTAGGAAATTTGGATAAAATAGCATCACACTATTTTAAAGGAATTACTCAAAAGAGTAAACAAGGTTTTTAATTCAATAATCTGGTTGTGCTTACAATGACCATATGGCAGGAATATATATAGACTAAAAAGGAATACACTTAGCTAATAATACATACAACAAAACAAAACTGAAAGTAAGAGGAAGTTTCCTTATTTCTCATGCCATTTGCTCCCATTTTATCTTGGTGTGAAAAGTCCTTCATGGCTGATCTCCTTTGGATTTAAAAGACCAATAATCCTTGTCCTTTTAAGGTAGAAATTTCGTGGCTTTATGAAGATAACAAAGGGAAATCAAGCTTTTGATATTTGTGATGAAAATGCCAAAACAGCACTATTCATTCAATGACTTTTGTTTGTGATTTTTGTTCCTTTGTATCAAAATTGATTATGCTTTTGTTTTATGAAAGAAAAGGCTTTATTCTTTGTTGAAATTCAGGGAATAATTTCAGCCTTGTACCCAAACTTAGGAAAGGAAAATAAGACTTACAAACTTTGGGACTTCAAGGTTTAGAGATGTAGGATAGTTGATTATCACTCTTTGATAATCGATTACCAAGATATGACTTCCAAACCAAGAATGTTCAGAGACACCCAATAGTCGACTGACCCTCAAGGATAATCGATTAACAAAACTAGCACAAAACCGGGTATTTTCAGAGGATGGCGATAATCGATTAATAGCTTTGAGATAATCGATTGTGAAGGTTGCTAGTTTTGTAACGAGGAGTCAGAAGGATAGTATAGTCAATTATTAATTGTGTATAATCGATTATGCAGTTTTTTTCAAGATTGGAAGAGAAAGAAGGAAAGGCATTATTTGGGTAAAAGGTTTTGAAAAGATAAAAACAAGAAACAAAGGTTTTGGCATTTATTTTCTTATCATTGTGATGGAAAAGACTTTATTTTTGATAAAAGAAAAGAAATAAAACTTTTGGATATGTTGGGAGAGTTTGGGTTTTGGTAGAGCTATCCAGGGGTACATCATACTCCCCTTCTTCGAAGAAAGTTTGTCCTCAAACTTTCGCACCACCGTGACTGATTGGGGTTTCATAAAAGAATTCCCGGATCAAATGGGAAATTTAAGAAACCACCAATAGTGAGGTTCTTTCCGGAATAAGTTGGCACCTCTTTTTGTACTGTCCGGAAAAATGTAATCACTTTTAGTAGAACCTTCTTCACATATACTTCAATGATTGGATGAGATTCTCCGTCACTAATTAGATGATAATATTCAGAGGAAACAACTTCCTTAAAACATATATCACCTAGTGTAGCATCCTCCACGACATCCTTTTCAAAGAAGCTTTCACAACTAAGGAGAGAATCAATAAGGATTGAATCTTCTTGAGCCTTAGAAGTTGGTTCTTCCACGAAGACATCATCATCTTTGACATGGTTATCAAAGACATCTTCGTAATTGCCATCTTGTTGATTCTCATATGCTGCTATGATCCTTACATGCTCTTCATAAGGAATGTCTTCTTTATTTGTGCACCTCCAGTAGTGATGGCCATAGCCACAGCACATGTAGCACCGTTTAATTGGTCCTTGAAGGATTGCCTCATTTGCATAAATAATCTCAAGATTTTTGAAGTATCTTTGGATATCCATATCTCAACAACCAGAGATTGGAATGTAGTGATTCCAACTCTCAAAGTTAGATATTGAAGTCCTTAAAGATATATCAGAAATTCAGAGTCATTGATTTATGTGTGCTACCTCGTTGGAGACAAAAGAAGCAAGCTAGACAGCATTTGGGCAGGACTGCATTGTCAACTTTGGAAGGGCGTATCTCGCTAACCACAACTCCGAATTGAGTGAAATCAGCGGTCAGACGTAGATAAAAGGTTAAACTTTTAGACTGGAAAGTTTCACGTTGAAACAACTTTTGCACCTTCCTCCGTGATCACTGCTTTGGGGCTGACATTTTCAGGAGCAATTCAGCAGTCTTGCTTTTGTGCAACGTGGGTGAAACTGGTCCTCCGTTAATCGTCGAGACTTGAGAAAGTCGTCGAAATTGAGCTCTGATACCAGATGTTGTACCCGAGACCCAGGGTCTTAACGAGTAGCTATTTTGGAGAAGGATTTGCGGAGAAAATGGGCGATGGAATTGAAGGGGTAAAATATGGAGTATGGGAAAGAGTTCTTTTTTTGGTATTTTGATTTATGAAGATAGAATAGAATGGGGTTTAGAAAGAGAAAATGGAGAGGAATGAAATGGGCAGAAATAAAGTGAAGGGATAAACCAAGTTGGTGTTAAGAGATATGACACACCCTTATCTTAACTTGGAGCTTTTATCTTATTTTACACATTAATAATCACTACTAATGTATAAAATTAGACTCCTAAAACGCACCCTAAAGTAGCCAACTTTAGAGATATTTCATTAGGAAATTTGGATAAAATAGCATCACACTATTTTAAAGGAATTACTCAAAAGAGTAAACAAGGTTTTTAATTCAATAATATGGTTGTGCTTACAATGACCATATGGCAGGAATATATATATAGACTAAAAAGGAATACACTTAGCTAATAATACATACAACAAAACAAAAATGAAAGTAAGAGGAAGTTTCCTTATTTCTCATGCCATTTGCTCCCATTTTATCTTGGTGTGAAAAGTCCTTCATGGCTGATCTCCTTTGGATTTAAAAGACCCATAATCCTTGTCCTTTTTAGGTAGAAATTTCGTGGCTTTATGAAGATAAGAAAGGGATATCAAGCTTTTGATATTTGTGATGAAAATGCCAAAAGAGCACTATTCATTCAATGACTTTTGTTTGTGATTTTTGTTCCTTTGTATCAAAAGTGATTAGGCTTTTGTTTTATGAAAGAAAAGGCTTTATTCTTTGTTGAAATTCAGGGAATAATTTCAGCCTTGTACCCAAACTTAGGAAAGGAAAATAAGACTTGACAAACTTTGGGACTTCAAGGTTCAGAGATGTAGGATAGTCGATTATCACTCTTTGATAATCGATTACCAAGATATGACTTCCAAACCAAGAATGTTCAGAGACACCCAATAGTCGACTGACACTCAAGGATAATCGATTAACAAGACTAGCACAAAACTGGGTATTTTCAGAGGATGGCGATAATCGATTAATAGCTTTGAGATAATTGATTGTGAAGGTTGCTGGTTTTGTAACGAGGAGTCAGAAGGATAGAATAGTCAATTATTAATTGTGTATAATCGATTATGCAGTTTTTTCAGGATTGGAAGAGAAAGAAGGAAAGGCATTATTTGGGTAAAAGGTTTTGAAAAGATAAAAACAAGAAACAAAGGTTTTGGCCTTTATTTTCTTATCACTGTGATGGAAAAGACTTTATTTTTGATAAAAGAAAAGAAATAAAACTTTTGGATATGTTGGGAGAGTTTGGGTTTTGGTAGAGCTATCCAGGGGTACATCACTTACAACCCCGGAACAACCCCCCGTTCTTATCTCCACTATCTTACAATCCGAACAACACGAATTCCATGGGATTAAAGACTTGATCCTTTTGGAAGATGGAGAAGCCGAACCCCACACTCCCCCAAACCAGCCCCATCCTCTAGCTCAACCAATCCTTGAAGAATACACCCATGTGTTTCCCGAAGATGTACCACACGGCCTCCCTCCTAAACTGGACATACAACACAAGATCGATCTTATTCCGGGGGCTGCCCTACCCAACAAACCGGCATATAGGATGAATCTCGAGGAGACAAAAGAGATTCAACGTCAAGTTGATGAGTTGCTAGCTAAGGGCTTTTTGAGAGAAAGTCTTAGCCCATGCGCTGTCCCGGCACTCTTGGTGCCTAAGAAAAATGGAACATGGCGTATGTGTTGTGATAGTCGATCTATCAACAAGATCACTATCAAATACCGGTACCCAATCCCATGTTTGGAGGACATGTTGGACGAGCTACATGGCTCAAAACTCTTTTCAAAAGTTGATCTTAGGAGTGGCTACCATCAAATTCACATCTTTGAAGGGATGAGTGGACGACGGCGTTCAAGACGAAGTTCGGACTATACAAAGGGTTGGTCATGCCATTCAGATTAACCAATGCCCCAAGTACATTCATGAGACTTATGAATCAAGTATTGAAGTCATTCATAGGTCATTTTGTCGTTGTCTAGTTTGACGACATTCTGATCTATAGCAAAAGCGAAGAAGAGCATGTAAATCACCTCACTTTGGTGATTAAGAAGTTAGACGATGAGAAGCTGTACGGAAATCTTGAGAAGAGCCAATTCTTTGCTCAAGAGGCGGAGTTCTTGGGATATTTTATCTCAAGTGAAGGTATCAAGGTTGATGAAAAGAAAACCCAAGCCATTAGGGATTGGCCGATCCCCACTACTATGCAGCAAGTCCGAAGCTTCCATGGGTTAGCCTCGTTTTACCGGAGATTTGTGAAGGACTTTAGAACCATCTCGGCACCCATCACCGATTTGACAAAAAATCAGAAGTTTGAGTGGAATCCCAAAGCACAACAAGCGTTCGAGGCAATTAAGGAGAAGTTAACACACGCCCCTGTGTTGGTCCTACCTAGCTTCGACAAATTATTCGAAGTCAAATGCGATGCCTCCGGAGTAGGCATAGGGGCTGTTGATATATCTAGGCTTAGTTTTGGAAGGGAAAATGGGATGGGCGAATATAATGAGGGAGGAGAAAGGTTTAGTTTGATATGGCTTTGGGGTGTAATGTGTGGGAAAAAGGAGGGCTGTTTGGTGTATTTTAAGGGGAAGGCCGAAAAATAGAAAGGAAAGAGGAAAGGAAGGGATAAAAACCAAGTTGGTTTTAAGAGATATAACACACTCTTATCCTCACTTGGGGTTGAATCTAGAATTCAATTAAGATATAACACACTTAATTAAATATCTAGAACCTAACACTCACACTTAAGGGAACCAACCTTAAGATATAGAAATTAGGGTTTGAAAAACAGAATACAACAAGTGTATTTCTATCTTAAAATGAAGAATAATGTGCTGAGCATTACAATAGGCCTGTGGCCAAAATTTAAAGGCACTCATACAAAGGAAAATACTAAGCTATTTCTTCCACAAATCCTAGAAAATGCAGCCATGTTCTTGAGTCCTTTCATGGAATAAAATCAGGGAAAATGGGGACAAGGGTTCATGAATGAATATTCATGAATGGAAGGGGGGTTTCGGCCATATTAGAGGGCAAAAGGGATGTGTGATGTGTTGGGTATTTTGGATTGGCTAGTGAGGTGAATAGTTGGTGGTTGGGGGGTGATTCATTCAGCCATAGTGGGGGGTAGTGGGGTGTGAGAAATATGACCTTTATATGGTGGTTTATATGGTGGTTTAAAGGTCAAAGTAATCACAAATATCCCTTGGCTTGTTGTGCTTGTTATTTCGGCTGTACTAGGGGACAAGAGGGGGACAATGTTTGTGGGATGTTGGGTGATGAAACATGGTTGTTTGGCTTGGTGTGTTTCGGCCCTAGCTTAGGGAAATGAAAGGGGAAAATGACTTATTGTGTGATATGGTTTTTTGGCACAAAATGTGTTACATTGATGGAGTGACTCAAGTAGGGTAGGGGGTGGGGTAGTCTCAGCCAAGGGGAAGGAAAAAGAGGTTGGGGTTTGTAGTTTGTTTTTTTGGGTTTTAGGTTTGGTTTTGGGGCAGGGTATATGGCTCTTTTAGGGTGGAGATAGGCTCAAGGTTGTCATGGTTAAGTAATATGGTTTGGGGTTGGAGAATTCATTCCAGAAAGGATCGTAACACTTAGACATGATTCCACTGATTTGTTTAAGGATTTGAGGGTCATGTGTAGTACATGGGGATACAACATCCTCCCTTTCTTAAGAAGAGTTTGACCTCAAACTCGGAATTTTTTCAGGATCAAAATATGGACTGAGATCTTTCACGTTAAATGTAGCCGAGACTCCATAACCTCCCAGAAGGTTGTTTTGTTCGGGGTCCTGTTGTAAGCAAACTCAGCATGCGGTAGAAGCTCTTCCCATTGTTTGATGTTTTTCTTGATTAGTACCCGAAGAAGGGTTCCAAGTGTCCGGTTTGTAACTTCCGTTTGACCATTTATTTGCGGGGGACTTGATGTGCTGAACTTGAGTTTCGTGCCTAGCTTCCGCCATAGGGTCATCCAAAAATGACTTAGGAACTTCGGATCCCGATCCGAGACCATGATTCGGGGAACGCCATGTAGTTTAACCATCTCTCGGAAATAGAGATCAGCCACTTGTGACGCGTCGTAGGTAGTGACACACGGAATGAAGTGAGCCATCTTCGAGAATCGGTCCACTACCACCATGATTGAGTCTTTTCCTTTTTGAGTTCGGGGCAGCCCGGTAATGAAGTCCAAGCTAATGTCTTCCCATGGAGCATAAGGGACGGGCAGTGGTAAGTGTGCTCCTTGTGGCAAAGCATGAGCTTTCGCAAGGTGGCAGGTGTGGCATCTCTTGATAAAGTGTTCAACGTCTCTTTCCATTTTTGGCCAAAAATAGTGTTCCTTCATCATCAAGTAGGTTTTGTTGATTCTAAAATGACCAACTAGGCCGCCTCCATGGATTTCTTCTATGAGGGTCTCACGTACGCTGCTCTTCGGAATGCACAGTTGTTTGCCATGGAAAAGATAACCGTCCTTGATGAGGTAGTCTCCATAGGGCCGAGAGAGGCATTGGGCATACACATCCTTGAAATCTTCATCTTCCTTGTATAGTTCCTGCAAAATTTCAAAACCAAGAATTTTGGTACTAAGTACCGTTAGTAAAAAATGCCTTCTTGACAAGGCATCGGCTCCTTTATTCATGACTCTGTTCTTGTGCTTTATTGTAAATGTGAAGGTCTGAATGTACTCGACCCATTTTGCATGGCGGGGTCAAAGTTTGTGTTGTCCTTGAATATATTTTAATGCCTCATGATCAGAATGGAGGATAAATTCTTTTCCCACGAGGTAATGCCTCCAATGTTCGAGGGAGCGGACCAGTGCATAAAACTCCTTGTCATACGTCGAATAGCGCCTTCTTGTCTCATTTAACTTTTAACTAAATTATGAGACGGGATGTCCCTCTTGAGATAGGACGGCTCTAATGCCTACGCCTGACGCATCACATTCAACCTCAAAGAGCTTTTCAAAACTTGGAAGAGCTAACACAGGTGCATGTGTTAGACGCTCCTTGATCATTTCGAAGGCCAGCTGTGCCTTTGGATTCCATTCAAAATGCTGATTTTTTGTGAGGTCGGTGAGGGGAGCCGTGATGGTACTGAAATCCTTCACGAATCTTCGGTAGAATGAGGCAAGTCCGTGAAAACTTCTAACTTGCTGCATGGTGGTTGGTACGGGCCAATCTTGAATAGCTCGAGTCTTCTTTTCATCAACTCGAATTCCTTCACTTGAAATGTAATACCCTAAAAACTCCGTTTCTTGGGAGAAGAATTGGCTTTTCTCCAAGTTTCCGTACAGCTTTTCCTCATCCAATTTCTTAATCACCAAAGTGAGGTGATTAACATGCTCCTCTTCACTGCGACTGTAGATCAAGATGTCGTCAAAGTAAACAACGACAAAGTGACCGAGGAAGGGCTTCAAAACTTGATTCATCAATCTCATAAAGGTGCTGGGTGCATTGGTGAGGCCAAATGGCATGACTAACCATTCATATAACCCAAACTTGGTTTTGAAGGCTGTCTTCCACTCATCTCCTTCATAAATTCGGATTTGATGATAGCCACTTCGTAGATCGATTTTTGAGAACACCTTGGAACCGTGAAGCTCATCCAGCATGTCCTCAAGTCTCGGTATGGGGTACCAATACTTGATGGTAATCTTGTTTATGGATCGGCTATCGCAGCACATACGCCATGTACCATTTCTCTTTGGCACCAAAAGTGCTGGGACAGCACAAGGACTCAAACTCTCCCTTACGAATCCCTTGGTATCAACTCATCAACTTGCCTTTGAATCTCCTTGGTTTCTTCGGGATTCATTCGGTAAGCTGGTTTATTGGGCAGGGCAGCCCCTGGGATAAGGTCGATTTTGTGTTGGATGTCTCATTTCGGGGGAAGTCCATGGGGGATGTCTTCGGGGAAAACATGTGAGAAATGGTTGAGTATGGGTTGGGCAAGGTGGTGAATGGGTTCGGATGGGGGCAGAGGTTTGGCTTCATCTTATTCAAAGAGGATGAGGTCTTTTTGGCTTTGGAGTTCATGGTGTTCAGCTTGTAATATGGTGGAGAGTAGGATAGGGGGTTCTTCTTTTTGAGGGGGTGAGGCCGTGGTTGTTGTTGGGGGAAGGGGGTGAGGGTGTGATGTATCCGAGCCCAACCCTTTCAGGTCCTTCCCCACGCCTCACACAATCATGGGAGGCAAAGGACTTACGTTTAAACATTATGATCCATTTTAGTGATAATTCAAAGGTCTTTTAACCCGAAAGGCCAAAATAACTTTCGTTATTTACCTAAGGGTTCCGCTAGCCAACTGATGTACCCTTGAATGGCTCCACTAAAATCCCAACCTCTCCCAAAATATCCAAAAGTCTTTTATCTTCATTTGATAATCAAAATAAAGTCTTTACTCTCCTTTTTAGCCTTGGACGAAAATGATGACCAAAAAGACAAACCTTTTGTGTTGTTTTCTATTTCTTTTGTTCCTTTCATTAAATAAGACCTTCCCCTTATTTTCCTACACCTTTCCCACGAAATTTCCTACCATTTTCTTCCCAAAATCAGACCTAAATACCCACACACAACAAAGGGACAAAAATCAGCAAAAGGTCTTTGATTGAATAGTAACTTCTTGTCCTATTATTCACTAAAAATCAGGCCATGTTATTTTCTTTGTCTTGGCCCACAATGGCCGAATTTCCCACTATCAAACAAGACAAATCTACACCTTATTTTAGTCTCATAATCCCCTTGTATTTTCCTTACACATGGCCGAATAAAACCAGCCCCATCAAAGCCAAACAAATCCCTTTTTTCCTTTGAATGCAATCCACTAATGAGATAAGAACAAATGCTGATTTGTGAAGGGATGATGCTGGGTAGTTTCTTAGTTTTTTAACTTTCATTTGTAATGTTTACTCCCTTTCCATCATAGTATATAATTCGGCCCTTAGGCCTTTGTAACACACTAGATTATTGAATTAAAAACCTTGTTTACTCTTTTGAGTAATTCCTTTAAAATAGTGTGAAGCTATTTTATCCAAATTTTCTAATGAAATATCTCTAAAGTTGGCTACTTTAGGGTGCGTATTAGGAGTCTAATTTTATACATTAGTAGTGATTATTAATGTGTAAAAGAAGATAAAAGCTCCAAGTTAAGATAAGGGTGTGTCATATCTCTTAACACCAACTTGGTTTATCCCTTCACTTTATTTCTGCCCATTTCATTCCTCTCCATTTTCTCTTCCTAAACCCCATTCTATTCTATCTTCATAAATCAAAATACCAAAAAGAACTCTTTCCCATACTCCATATTTTATCCCTTCAATCCCATCATCCATTTCCTTCCGTAAATCCTTCTCCAAAATAGCTACTCGTTAAGACCCCGGGTCTCGGGTACAACGAATACCAATTGTTAGACAAGTCTGCAACTCTAGAGGGGGGTGAATAGAGTTGTTTTCAAGAATGTGCGTTTTTCGCGTGTGTGAAAGAATAAAATCGCAGGAATAAATAAAGAGAGTAAGGGAAAGAAGAACACCGAGATTTATACTGGTTCACCACCTCGTGGCTAGTCCAGTCCTCCGAGAGACTCTCTCGAAAGTCCAACTAATCTTCAAGCTTCAACGGGTGCTTGAAAAACCGATACAACTTGAGAACTTGAATCACACAAGCCTCACTTTCTTACAACAACAAGACTTGATTCACACAAGTCTTAAGAACAACACTCAAATGAGATTGAGTTTACAACACAAGAATGAAGGCTCACACAATTTGAGCAAGAAGTGTTGAAATATGAAAGCTCTATGGATGACAAAATCTTTAGCACTCTAACTCTCAAAATAATAAATTCGATGAGGGATGGAAGCAAGAATTGAATATTGATCAATGAAGATATTGGAGTGCAAGAGATGTATTTTTAATGAAGAAGGATGAGTGTTTTTATAGGGAGAAAAGAAATAAATCCGTTGGGAGTAGGGAAGGCTGAATTTGACAGATAAAAGCTGTTGGGGATCGATCCAAGGGTGAGGATCGATCACCTGGAGTAATGGATTGAAAAAGAAATTTCTGTCAAAGCTTCGGGGGATTGATCCAAGGAAAAAGATCGATCCAAAGGAACCAAAAATCCGGAAAAGAATTTTTGCAAGCCTTCGGTGGATCGATCCAAATCCCTGAGCACAAAAACATGACGATCGATCCTAACAAATGGATCGATCCATCTACGAACAGCCCTCAAACATGAGGACCCAAGACATGTGTGCGAGTGGGATGATATTTGGAGCTTAATGTTTTGTTTTAGACAACAAATTGAGCGTGATAAGGCTCCCATAAACTGTTAATCGGTTTAGTCGTTGTGCCCACGCCTTAGAGGGGGGGTGAATAAGGCGTTAAAAACTTTTTGGAGTTAAATAAAAAAGGTGTTGGCAAATGTGGAAGCAATAAATAAAACGCATAAATAAAAGCGTAAATAAAATGCACACCGGATTTATACTGGTTCGGGAACTCTCTACTCCAGTACCTTGAGGCTCCTCCCCAAGGATTTCCGAATCCACTAAGTCTCGGTCTCTTGAACTCCGTCAAAGCACCGCACTAGTTTGGCAAACAACCCTTGCCAATAGGATTCACTCCGAGATTTCACCATGGCTATCTCGAATCGTTTACAATGAAGATTTAACGGCTATCTTCTACCGTTTCCCCCAAGGATTTCAAAGGCTATCCTTGAACCTTTACCCAAGGATTTATATGGCTATCCTTAACCGTTACAACGTGAGAATTTAACGGCTATTCTCGACCGTAAGGTGTGTTTGAAAAACACAAACAAGAGTTCTACACAACGGCTTGAATATAAAAATGAAGAACAAAACTTAGCCGGTGTAGAAGGAAAATATACTCTCTCAAAAATACAATTCAAACTTATGAATATGAGAGTATATAACTAGAAACACAAGCTCAAAGTGTGTGTATAAAAATCAGGAATTTTAAGGCTCCTAAAATAGCCAAAATAATAAAAATAATTAATAGAAGGATGAACACGCTTAGAATAAAAAGAGAGGATGTTTAGAGCTTCGTTTCTTTAAGAAATATGAAGGATTAGGCTTGTATTTATAGTGGAAGATGTTAATTAGCCGTTGGGAGGTGATTAGGATTGATTAAAGTCAAAATCACAAATCAGGAACAGTAATCCAACCACTACGCCAAAAACAGTATCAGACAACTGTTGATTAACTACTGTGTATGGAAACACAGTAGTTAAAAAAAACAGACTACTGTGAGTTTTTCTTAGCTACAGAACAGTAGTCTAGCTATGATGCTTTAAAACTATTTTTAAAGTTTCGAGAAACGGTAATCTATCACTAGTTGTCTGTGTCAGTTCAAAATACAGTTTTTGTTACAACAGTTGTCAATAACAAGTTAAAAATACTCTATATAAACAGTAGTCTGATGTTTTAGTCTAGAACTGTTTTTAAACTTATTAGAAACAGTTATCTAACGCTAGTTGTCTATTTCATATGGTTTTTTTGCCACTATTGTTTCTAATGGGAATAGAAGACTCTTTTGTAACAGTAGTCTATAAATTAAGGGTAGAACTGTTTTTAAAGTTGTGAGAAATGGTAATCTTTTATTAGTATTCCGTTTCATCTAAAAATACAGTTTTTGTTGCCTCAGTTGTCAATAATTAGTTAAGACTACTATTTCTAATTAGTAGTCTGGTTTTTCAATTTATAACTATTTTTAAACTTATAAGAAATAGTATTCTATTGTAAGTTGTATGTTTCATATGGTTTTGTTTTGCATAGTTATAAGAATAGAAGACTCTATTGTAACAGTAGTATATTTATATAGTGTAGAACTATTTTTAAGGGTTAAATGTAAATTATTACTACCCATAATCGGAACGGTACATCAATGTCAAATGCCGAACCATAAGAATGGTTCCGTGCATATATAAGACAACAAACATCAACAACAAAACCAAAGAGAATACAACAAGTGACATGCAAAACTTGGCACGCAGGCCATACAAAATAAAGAACCATCAAATAAACATCATTGTGATCACACTTTATCAAAGTAGACCACGTCCAGGCTCTTGCATAATCGACTTCCAGCTTCTAGTACCATGCATCATTCCAACAATAGTACGGTAGGCAAAACAAGGGCATGAAGGGAGAATATATTGGGGGTACCAGCATAGCCAAGATAACCCAAGCTCTTCCAAATACCCCAGCCGAAAGGGTCAAGACGAGCATTAGGTAGCGTGCCAGCCGGACCAAAAAGGCAAAATACAACATAATAACCAACCCCAATCGGATTGGTGTTACCTCCACCATGAGGCAAAACTGGGTAAAGAATCAGCTTCACTTTCGAACATAAATCAGCTGCAAACAGATCCAAAAGCAGCGGGGAATACAAGCCAATACGCTGCCCAGGGACACCATAAAACTTCCAAACTGTTTCAGGTACACCATAAGCGAACCCACCCACAACAGGACTGCCCAAACAGCCCTCAAACAAATGGCAGTAGCATTTTCCACTGTCAACTTCCACAGCGAGGAAGTGACGTTATCCAGCCCATGGTTCCAGCATCCTCTCCGGCAATAGGACTTCTAGGACCAGCAACAAGACATGCCAAGCCCTGTCCCCAATCCTTAGTCACGCAGGACAAAAACAGCAAGTATTACTATCCATTCCAGCGAGTCAAAGTCCTTGTTGTTAGAGGTATATAAACCAGTAGTCAGTCTGGTTTTAAGCCATATACCAACTGCCGTCAAGTGTTAGTAAGAACCAATCCATAGCTTGCCTTCAGTTCAGCAAACTCATCACCAAAAGTAGTGCAGTTTCTGCATTTCAGTAAGGTCAAAGGCAGCCCCAACCTAGCTGGTCAGAGGTTGAGTTCAGCCACTCTAGAAGGTTTCCAAAGATTGGCATGTTGAAACCAGTCCAAAGCTTAAATTGCAGTTCCAGCCCCACTATTTGACACAATTCATAGATTCAAAATCCTCCACGAAGCATGAACCAGAGCTCCAGGTTTACGCAATTAACACTTCAAACACAAGCAGTCAAGAATCATGTGCTCTGGGCAGATTTGGGCATTTCCCAGCCCCAACAGCCTACTCATACAGTTCTTCCATGGCTTCAGGTCCTCCTCGACAAAAAACACCCACAAAAAACCAACACAAGACTCTCATGGTTCCAAAGTCAGGACCATGGTTCAATCCAAAAAAGGAGCAAGAACAGAACGGAATATCAACCACAAAAACAAATTCACAACGGCAAAAACATCCACAAGAATCAATTGACCAAGACGAAACAAGAACCAGTGAATGCCAGCTCCAATGTCACGCAGTGAACAGTGATTTCGCAACCTCAAAAATCCTCAAATCATATGGAAATTCAAATGTTTGTGGAATCCACCTTCATACCTTGCGTGAGAATGTCAAAAGACTAAGAATCTCAAAAATCTAGCCATCATGGGTGTCTTGGCCGAAGTGAATCACAAAATCAAAAACGCAGATGAATAGTGAAAGTAGCGACGTTGACCTCCAATTCGTCGGATTCCATCTTCAAAAATCAGCGATTAGACTCTGATATAGATTCACTTGCTGAAGGCGAATTCAGAGCTCCAAAAATCACAAGAATCGAGCCAAAATCAAGGTGGAGATCAGAAGTCAACTTCGCCAAATCTGATTTGCTTGCTGACCGATTCTCGTGGAACCGTGCGCCAAATCCTGTTCGTCTATTGCATCAAATCCGAAAGGAAGGGATAACAAAAAGAAATTGTGGGTTTTCCTCTCATCTTTGCTATCATTTCTGGGATTAAATCTTTATCTCATTTGAGCTGATTTAGGATTCTTGTGATTCTTTATTTGATAGATCCCATCTTTATGGTTGTAAAGAAGAAGGAACCCAATTACAATTTCCAAAGAAGTGAAAAGAGAAATTAGGAAGAGTGAGAATGAAATTTAGAGGAGGGAAAATGAATTTGGAAAGAGGGAAATTAAAATTGTATAGATTTGGATGTAAACTTTCAATTAGAAAATGAATTTGGAAAGAGGGAAATGAAAATTTTTAGAATCAACAATTTGATTTTTGAAACAAAAAAGTTTTTTGGCCCATAAATTTTCTCACTCTTATGTACAACTTTCAATTAGGCGTACATTTTTTTTGTTAATTGAATTTCTTACTCACATGGATCCAATTCCACAAGATACCCATCTTTTTGATCGTAAAACATCATACCGGTATTGATAACTAAAATACTTACTTGCACAAGTCCAATTTGACTGATCAAATCTTTAAATTAATCAGATCGGATATAATTAGATCGAATTAGACCAAAACAGATCTAAGCGGATCAAATCAATTAGGTGTGATCTAATGCATTTAAAGATTAGATTCGGCAAATAGGACACAATGTATAGAAATAAATAGATTTTTTTGAAGATTTGATATGGTCTTATTGGACATGAATTTGATTTGATCCAATTAGATTTATTTTTGTCCAATTTGATCTGATTAGGTCCGATGTGATGCATTTAAAGATGATATCAGGCAATTAGGACACAACCAATATAAGTAAACAGGTTCCCTGTAAAAGTTTGATCTGATCTTATTAGATTCAAAAATCATTTGATCCGATTAGATCTGTTTTGGTCTAATTAGGTCTGATCTGATGCTTTTAAAGAACTAGGACACAACGTATACAAGTAAGTAGATCTTTTTAAAGATTTGATCTGATCTTATTAGATTTGAATTTGATTTGATCCGATTAGATCGATTTTGGTATGATTTGATCTAATTAGGTCCGATCTGATGCATTTAAAGATTATATTAGGCAATTAGGACACAATCCATACAAATAAATAGATCTTCTTTGAATATTTGATATGATCTTATTATATTCGAATTTCATTTGATGAGATCAGATATGTTTTGGCTTAATTCAATCTAATTAGGTCCGATATGATCCTTTTAAAGATTACATAATGAAAATAGGACACAACCTATATAAAAGTTTAGATTTTCTTAGAAGATTTGATCTGATCATATTGGTTTTGAATTTGATTTGATCCGATTAGATCTGTTTTTTTCTAATTTCATCTAATTACATACGATCCGATGCATTTAAAGATTAGATCAGGGAAATAGGACACAATGTATACAAGTAAATAGATCTTTTTGAAAATTTGATATGATCTTATTGGATTTGAATTTGATTCGATCCGATTAGATCTGTTTTTGTCCAATTTCATCTAATTACGTACGATCCGATGCATTTAAAGATTAGATCGGGGAAATAGGACACAATGTATACAAATAAATAGATCTTTTTGAAGATTTGATATGATCTTATTGGATTTGAATTTGATTCGATCCGATTAGATTTGTTTTGGTCTAATTCGATCTAATTAGGTCTGATTTAATGCGTTTAAAGATTAGATTAGGCAAATAGGACACAACCTATATAAGTGAATAGATTTCCTTCAAGTTTTGATCTCATCTTATTGGATTTTAATTTGATTCGATCCGATTAGATCTGTTTTGGTCTGCTTCGATCTAATTAGATCTAACTTAATACATTTAAAGATTAGATCAGACAAATAGGATACAACCTATACAAGTGAATAGATTTTCATATTGGATTGGAATTTGATTCGATCCGATTAGATCTGTTTTGGTCTGATTCGATCTAATTTTGTCTGATTCAATCTAATTAGATCCGATATGATGCATTTAAGGATTATATCAAGAAAATATGACACGACCTATACAATTAAATTGATTTTTTTAAATATTTGATCTGATCTTACTAGATTTGAATTTGATTTGATTCGATATTTTTGAAGCTTTGATTTGATTTTATTGGATTTGACTTTGATTTGATCCGATTAGATCTGTTTTTTGTCCGATTTGATCCAATTAAGTATGATCCTATATGGTTCGGATATCAATCAGTTCAGATAGATTTCGGGTTGAGATAGATTTCGGTTTAGATATATTTCATCACTTCATATTACCTTATACTACAAACTATGAAAAAAATACGCATATTACCTTCAACTACTACCTCCATCCCTGAATATTTGTTTATTTTTTACTCTTTTTGTCAAAATTAGCAAACTTTGATATGAAATTATATAAAAGTGAAATTAGATATTGATACTCACAAACACTCAGGGACGGACCAAGTAAAATATTTCAAAATATTACTACCTCCGTCCCAGAGTATTTGTCCACTTTCATTTTTACACATCATCCAATACACTTCTTTAATCCATTTTATCTTGTAATTTATATATTAAAAAATTATAGAAATTATATATTAATAATCTATATGTTAAGACAAATCAAACAAGATCGCACATGACTATATTTAGGCTTACACATTGAGAGAATTTGATGAGTCAAAGTGCTTAGATGAACAGTTCCAAAAGTCAAAAGTGGACGAATATAGCGGGACGGAGGGAGTATTTATTTAAGTAATATACAATATATATTTTATTTAAATTTAGATCAAAGATTAAAAATAATTGATTGCAAAATGTAAAATTTGAACAATAACTCGAAGTCTAAAAACTAAAACATTTTGCATCCCTTTCTCCAAAGTAGCGCTGCATTTTGACAACTTCCTCCTCAAAATTTAGAATTCCTCTTCACTTTTAATTTCAAAATCACCTAAAATTTCATAGCCCCTCCTTAAATTTTCAAAATCCCTCCTTTTTTTCCCTCTTCTCTTTTGCTATCTCACAATTCCATGTCATAGTTTCACACACGGCAAATGCCCTCCCACCTTCAAACTCTCTAGAAATCTCGCCGCCATGAACAGTGCCACGAGAATGGGATTTCTCCTCTTCCATCGATTTGAGCTCAAATTCGTGAGATTTTTGGAACCTCGGATGCACCATTAGCTCGTGAATCCATATATGAGGAAGTTTCGCTGATTTTGGATATGAAAATCTGAAGAATCGGAAGTCAACGCACGTCTGGCACTGTTAATTCGAAATTTCTTCTCTTTGATTCACGATGATCCAGACTTCTTTGATGGCTAATTTTTGGATATACTGAGCGGTTTGCCATCCCCTTCCATCCTATGAAGTTGAATTTCATTATCAATTGATTTTCATTTCGATTTGAGGGGTTTATGGGTTACGAACTACTGTTCATAGCGAGAACCTTGATTATGAATGCTTATGCTTTTTTTCCAAGTTTTGTGGATTCTTCCCTGCTGTTTTGAGTTCCTTTGAGATGCATATGAATGATTTTACTTGTACGAGTTCCTAGTATGAATAGCTGCTGGTGTTCTTGACTCCTTTCACGGCATAGTTTCCCAGTATGAATAGCTGCTGTTTTTCTTGTTTCCTGGTAATAATAGGCTAATAGCTAGAGATCTGTAGTCTTTTTGACTCCTTTCACGGCATAGTTTCCCATAGCTTTCAATGTTTTCATTGTGAGGCTTCATATCAAACTTGTGATAGATTTTCCCTTCCACAAAAAGCCTTCCCTGCCCTGATTCAGAAAATATGGACATTGGAATAAATTCTGTTGACATTCCCATGGAATAGGATTTGGGAATGTTTCCAGGTTCGCTACCAGCCAATCCCATGGATTATGTGTGATTTGTGTTAGGTTTACATGCTTTGATGTCCAATAAACTGATTGATTTTGTCTGATTTTGAAAAAAATCGTACGGAATTGCAGAGATATCAATGTTCTGATGACGGCATTGAAACAGATAAAAGAGAAAGCTCATCAGGACGATCAGAAGAATAATGAAGAGACGATATCTAGGTGAGTGAGTAGGGCTTGCAGTTTCTCGCGGCTCAAATTTCAGCCATATGCTTAGCTGTAATTCTGGATTTGGTCAATTTACAGATTCAAACACTGATTATGAAGATTGTTGTGAATTTCAGGTTCATATAATCATATGGAATTGTAGAACATATTTGATTGGTTCATTTTGTGCAGTTATTTTGACATGCTACAGACATGTGTTAGTAAGTTCAGCCTAGTGTTTGGGAATAGATCATCCTTGGTACTCTATTTACTTTTGTATTAGAAGACAATGGAAATCATATTATACTGTGGTGGATTTTTTTCTGTAATTTTTTTTCATCTTCCTTTGTTGCATTTGATTTTGGACATGAATAAGGACAAAAGAGCTTTGGAGAGTTTCCATATTGGGGAGCTCCAAATAAATGGTTGTTGCTATTTCATTGAGATGTTCAAGACAAGGTTGATGAACATTTAATTTTCTTAAAAGAGTGAATATATTAATCTCATTTTGTGGTACCATCTCAAAGTTTTCATTTCTTTTGCTTCTTAAGGCTCCTGTTAAGGTTCTTGCCATATTCATTGATGAAGATAAAGTGCGAGAAGCGGGGCTTGGGGAGAACTTACGAGTCCGAGTATCTGGGATTGAGGAAGATGATATCTTATCAGGCTTTGTTTTATGCAGTGTTGGTAAATACCATTCAATTATTTTCTCTGTTTAGTCTACTTTTTCAATTTTCAAAGCTTTATGTGTGGATGCTTCTAAATTGTTTGTTCATTTTGTTACTAGTAATAAAGTGGATGCTTTGCAAGAAAATATTTAATGGTATGCAAATTGAGGACTCAAGTGGATGCTTTACAAGAAAATATTGCTAGAGCAAGAGATGGATTCAAAAATGTTATTGAGGGGGACAAATAACTAAATTAGGTGTGCCAAATGGACAATTAGAGTGTGATTTTATTTATGTAAACCGTATTACACAATTGTTTTTAGACAGTAGTCTGTAAATATATCAGACAGCTGCGAAAGACTACTGAAACTAGCACAGTTAGACTATTAAAAAGAACAGTTGTCAGCATCTGTTTTTGACGTAGTGAACGGTCACGGTAGGGGGGTCCCGTCCATACGGTAGAGGGGTCCCGTCCATACGGTAGGGGTCCCGTGCTTACGGTAGTTAGGTACCTTCTCAGGCCAAAACTCTCTGGCGGTACCTATCTCTTACGGTAGGGGGTCCCGTGCATACGGTACCTATGTACCTTATGACCATTTTGACAATTTTTTTCATTTTTGTCCAAATCATTTCCAATTTTGTTTAAAAATTTTTGGATGTTTGAAAATGATTATAAAAGAGTTCTAAACATATTTTGTGAGTGTTTTTGAGCTTGTGAATATAGGTATATAAAATCATATTCTTACATTGGTTTCTACCTATATTCTACGCTAGTTTGGTGTTTTAACTTCATTCTTGAGTACCGAATTTTAATGGATTCTTGTTCTACTCGAAACACTTAAACAAACGTCAAGCTCTTATATTGTTTGTTAACATCAAATCATGAGGCTTAGCAAACCAAGGCTAACATAAACAAACAAATCAAATGGGTTGAAAGGGAATTAATTCAAATTCAAAATTTGAATTAAATATTTGAATTTTGGTGTAGAAATTGAGTCCCAAAAATATTTTTTGTGTCAAACGATGTACAAGAAAAATCTTTAAAGTATATTTTTCTTACCACAAAAAATTTGTGTATCCTTAAAAAGTTTTTTAAAGAAATTTTGACACACTATTTTGAAACTAACTTAGTAGAATATTTTTAGACAGAGAAAAAATTATTTTTCAACTGACTCAAGAAATAATCATTTTTATCCCTCAAAAATAATTTGTTTATGCAAAAATTACTATCATCCTTACAAGAATTCCTAGACTCAATAAAAATTAAAAAGTCTTCGGAGTCTTCACTTCACTTCAAAAAAAATCTGCGTAGGGGTGAGCGTTGATTTTTATTGCCGAAAACTTCTTGATACCCTTCTTTGCTTTTCTCGATACGGAAATAAATTTTCGATTATCGGTTGAATTTAATCATCCTGTTTGTCATTCATCAAAACAAAAAATATTCCAGAAAAATAATAAAGGGGTTTGAACTTATGTCCAACAATTTCCCCCTTTTTGATAATGACAAACATAGTTGAGAAAAAGCAAAGTAGAATTCAAGAAATACTTCCCTTAATAGATCCCCCCCTGCAAGGTTAGAGAAGTGTAGTAAAAAAAATAATCGGAGTAATAAGCGGAAAAACGATTTTGAAAACCAAGTTTTCTCAACTATCCTTCCTTCCCCCTTTTGGCATTATCAACCGATAACCTTCCCCCTTAAACAATGCCGGGATATTGAAGGATAGAAAAAATATGGCAAGAGTTTTCTTTGAAAGAGAACTCCTAGAAAAAAAATGCCACAAAGGTACAATATGTTCTAAACAAGAACAATATTGCCAACCCAACAATGATATCAATACACAATCATAATTAATATTTAATAACCATAACTAGCATAATTAAAGTAGCATCATCATCCACCAAAGGAGTCATAATAACAATAACATTTAACAATGTATCATAAATAAATCATCACATAAAGAGAGAGAGAAGTCAAAGTGAGATCGACGGCCGGGATCCACCACTATAACTGTGACGCGGTCCGAAATATGGTCGTCGCTCTATCTCCGTCATCCCCTGCTCAAGCTGTGAGAGACGATGGCCTTGCATTGTCACTTCCATGCGAGTATGCGCCACATCCGTGCAAGTGCAAGTCACGGCGTCTAAAATCCGTTGAAGGATGGAACGATCAGCGCGGCGCGATGAAGTAGAGCGTGACACCCGAGTAGGAGAGGAACACAGAGTCGATTCCACTTGAGCGACTTCTTGGACATGCGCCGGTTCGCCCTCCGGATCATGTTCTTCTTCACCCTCTTCTTCTTCTCCTTCTTCTTGCACGGCCCTTGGTACATTAGAGTGGTTGAAGGTTGCGACATCGATGTACCACGTGTGGTTTTTTTGGATGTGGATGTCTTTTAAAGGCACCTCAAAAGCTCTCAAAATGTTCATGATCGGGAACACATACCCAAGAGACCCTTTTGACTTCATGAGAAGAAGATTATTGCAAAAGAATTTGGCCCAATTGATTTTAATATTGTTCAAAAACACAAAGAGAAGACAAGTGTCCGATGAAAGTATTTTAGAATGGATCGACTTACGAGGAGCTAATACTTTCGAAATGAAGTAATGAAGAATTCGAAAATGAGGCTTAAGACCTCCAACGGTTAGGCGTTCTCGCCCAAGAACTTCTTCAAGGCACACCTCGGTAATGGTGTCGTAAGAAGAAAAGGTTTTGAAATCCTTAGATGTGAATTTGTGGAAATCACAACCGTCAAAAGAAAATTTTAAAAGTTCACCGATATCCTTGAGAGTCATCTCAATATCGGTGCCATTAACGGAGGTTTTGAGGACCCGTCCGTTGAAAGTGAGATTTGTATAAAACAACCGAATTAGATTCGGACAAAACACAGGAAAATTCTCACGAACAAAAGAAGTAACACCAAGTCTATCAATGAAAATGGTAGCATCTTGGAATGGTAGATGACAAAATACGGAATGAAGAACGGATTTGGGTGTCAAAATAGGACGATTCAAAAAATCATTATAGAAAAGGCGTTTAGAATCACCTCTCGGAAAGACAAATGAAGAGACAAATTGTTCCTCTTGGGTTGATGGTTCACCGTCATGAGATTTTGTGCGCAAACATTTACTGCCTCGACGATCCGACATGGTGTCTAGGGTTGGAGCACGAGAAGAGTGAGAAACCCTAAGAGAAGAAAGAGAAAGCACTTAATCTCAAGTAATCGAGCAAAAAAGCAACAATAATCATCAATTTGCAACAATTAACAAGTAATTTGGAAGAAATTGACGAGAAATTTAGGAAAGAGGCGAAGAAATCGAACCTGGGAATCGAGAAGCTTGGTCGCCGATGAGAGAGATAGAGCAGATAAAAGAGACGATTAAAACAATGGTAAAAACGAAGAAGGGAGAGTATTTATACCGTAAGTCAACGTGATCGATCCATCCAAGGAGATCGATCCTCCGTAAAAGAGTACCTGCGCCGTTAAAGTCCAGGTGATCGGTCCATTGGGTTGGATCGATCTGCCGAAGAAAACCTGTGAAAGAGAAAGGCCCAATGGATCGATCCTAGAGCCGGGATCGATCCGCCGAAGTTTAACTTGAAAAAGCTTTGGTTTGGGTGATCGATCCAATTGTGGGGATCGACCCCCTCTGTTCCAGTTTCGAAAACTGCCCTGAAACACTGAAAATATACCCTGTAAAAAAGAATTATTGCGCCTCCGACGCTCAAATTAGTACCATCAATAAAGAGAATGAATTAATTCATAGAGATATCCAAAATGCCAAGTTCGTTCCGAATGTGGAAGAAACTCTCCCTACTAAGGGGTTTCGTGAAAATGTCCGCCAATTGATGTTTCGTTTCAACAAACTCAATTGTGACATCTCCCTTTTGGACATGATCTCATATGAAGTGATGCCTAATTTCTATGTGTTTAGTCCGCGAGTGAAGAACGGGGTTCTTCGTTAGACTAATAGCACTCATATTGTCACACCTAATTGGGATGGGATCAAGTATAAGGCCGAAATCCACTAGTTGTTGTTTTAGCCAAAGAATTTGGGCACAACAACTTCCCGCAGCGACATATTCCGCTTCGGTGGTGGAAAGTGCAACACTAACCTGCTTTTTACTAAACCACGAGATTAACAAATGACCGAATAAGTGGCAAGTACCGCTGGTACTTTTCCTATCGAGTTTGCAACCTGCAAAATCCGAGTCGGAATAGCCAACAAGATGACATGTCGAACCTTTGGGATACCAAAGACCTACGTTCAACGTGCCCGCGAGATATCGCATTATCCTTTTGATCGCAACCAAGTGCGACTCTTTAGGACAAGATTGATACCTAGCGCATATACAAACGGAGTACATGATATCCGGTCTACTCGCGGTAAGATAAAGTAAAGAGCCGATCATACCTCGGTAGCGTTTGATGTCTACCTCTTTACCTTTTTC